CAAGAAAGGGACACATGACAACACTGACACCCTCACCTGGACTGGCATGTGTTTCAAGGGCAGGAAAGAGGGAACTGGTGGAAAGGGGCACAAAAAGAGTAATAGTTTCCCTGTATCTTGTTTCACACTGGGTGGGGGAAGTGCATCTCCTGGTTAGTAAAGTCCCAGACCAAGGAAAAGGTGAGGCAGGAACTGTAAAGCTTACCAAAGTAGACACTTGGTCAGGGCAAGCCAGACTCATCATCCAAGAAGCAGTCTTAAATGGCCGAAGAAGACCCCAGCAATCTGGAACAAGAGATTCAGACAGATTAGCAAGGCAGAACCTATTAGACGAGTAGCTTATGCTAGCTTGAAGAACCCACTGATGGCTGTTTTCTAGCTGGAGCCCCACTCAGTATGTAGCGGCAACTGTTCAGGAGCAAAGGAAGAGGGTTTAGCCCCTGAATCTCACTGAGAGAAACAGCCCACTCATGAGGAAACCACTTACTTGTGGCACAGTGGTTAAACTGCTGTACTGCTAAAACTGTGCTCACGACCTGGGGGTTCTAACCCAGGAAGCTGGCTCAAGGTTCACTCAGTCTTCCATCCTTCCAAGGTTGGTAAAATGAGTATGTACCTAGCTCACTGGAGGGGGCAATGTTTAACCTGCATAATTAACTTGCAAACCACCCAGAGAGATTTTTAAGTGCTGTGGGGAGGCATATGAACTGCATTCTTTGCTTTTACCCATGAGGACACTTCCTCCTGAAGTCAAGCACTCTGCTTTGGGACTTCAATCTGGGATCACACCTTCAGCTTTCTTCTCTCCAGAGGGCTGGGGAGTTGTTTCACCACCTCCTCAGACTCAGCTCCTGAATCCCCATTGTCAATAAGCTCCGGCTCCGGTATCCTTGAGGATTCAGGATCTATGAGCTCCAGATCCTGGTTCATTGAGGGCCCAGGGTCAAGCAGGGCCTCCACCCCATCAGGGTTTGGACTGTCCAGTTCCTCAGGCTCCTTTTCACTGGAAGACTCCTCTGCTGAGGTCATGACACCCAGCTAAGCTGTTGCAGGATGTTTGCACCCACAGCAGGATGTTTTCAGGCCAGTGACACAAAACCGAATTTGTAACATTAGTAAAAGAGCAGAAGGCCACCAGTTTGATGATGCCCATCAGCAGCACCAGAAACAGTAAACTGCTCATATGCATGGGTGACCAAGGCCTGAGACTTGAGAAGGACACATAAGAAAAATCCCCAAATGGCATCATTGCAGCAAGGACTATGTAGGAAGAGATAAGGACATAAGGAAATCCATGAGCAAGTGTGATAACATGGCTGGCATGGAGAACCTTTTCCCAGAGGTGCTTTCTGATGCAGATTTTTTTTCCAAATTATTGCTGTGACTCTGGTAATAACAACAGCGCTGGGGCCAGGGATCTTGCCTTGACCAGCTACTGAAAACCTTGATGTTTTGTTGGTGTGGTGGCAATTCTACCTTGCAGGGTTGATGTAGTGGTCCTGAGTGCTAGTTCTTGTGGCTTTTTGGAACTCCCCGAAAATATGTCTTAGTCAGGTTAGACTGGAGTGTTGAGAGGCATCAGTGCCAGGCAGATTCCCTAGCCATCACCACATTTGACTCTCCTGGGCTCAGTGACTCCAGGATAAACAGGGCACTGTGACTTGAATGGTTAGAGAGGGGATCCCAGCATATCATCACACAAGATAAAACAACTCAGTGTAAAAACAGGCAGACAGAACTTTTTACTTAGATGGAAAGATTGATTGAATGAAATGGTTATAGCAGCTGAAGCGAATTAGTGAAGCATGACTGAATTTCTTTTGGGTAGACATGGGCTGAAGAAAAATTATGATCTGCTGGAAGATCTTTGAATGAGTTATGCTAGATTTGCAAGGGATTCTGCTTCCCAGTTGTTTGACAGCAGCTGCAACAGTATGATTTTCTCCATTTAAAATCAGCCACTGAAAGGAAGAAAGAAAGGGGTGAATGGGAGAGAACTTGTATGTGAATTCATTTTGGTTGTGCTGTTGAAAACAAACTTGGAATATGCAGAAATATACTTTTTCCTTTAATTCTAGGGGTAACTTAGTTATAGCTGCCTCTGCTTTATGGATTTTGGAGCTCTGATGCAAAACAAAGTACTGTAGATTCCAGTGAAAAACCCAATAAGTTCAATAGGCCAGATGCCTATACGTTCTAGTTTGAGGAGAGATCTTTAGAAAATGTCTTGCCTTATGTCTCATGAATTATGAAAGTGCTGGGATATGTACAAGGGTCTCTTGAAGTTAAAGGCAGTGGGTGGAGAGGGTTGTATAGAAACATGCAATCCTTCAAATATCTTAAATCTACAGCATCCAAGGCTTTCTAGGAACCAACACTTGGAAATGAATCCAGAACTAGAAAACAAAAACATCTTGAGCAGAATGTATGTTTATCAGTGAAAATTTGGCTTTAGAAGCCACATCAACTACCATGTAGTTTCTGAATGATTTCAGAAGTGGTTCTGCATGGAACATGTTGTGTTTATCCAGTTTAGATATGACATGTACAACAGTACAAGTAATATATACAACAAAAGCCAGAGTGGCTGTATCCAACCCTTCTTTTTTTTAAAAAAAATGTCTACAAAGGTTGTTGGAGGTTGAAATGTTCTGATACTGGAAACTCTGTTTTGCCGTTCCTGATTTCAGTTTTATACCCTTTTTCCCCCTCTTGTGAAGGGGTTGTCCTGTATGCCCCAAGCAGAATGCAGAATGACACAGAGGGAAGGCATCTAAATCCTGACTTCAACACTGTCTGCTCTTTTTAAAAACCCTAACCCCAAAACCTGAGTCCTGAGAACACACATCATTGTTCAGCTTTCTGTTGCCAGGATGGCAATGATGCTAATATAATCAAACCCCTGAATGTTTACACCCTGTGTTAATCTATTGTCACTTTGGAAACTCATTACCAGGTGTTCATTCCAGTTGGTCTCATCCACACCTTTCCTTCCCCACAGTTCCCATCTCCACCATCATGTACCTTGTAGATAGATAAACCTGTGGCTAAGGTACTGTCAGAAGGGAATGGAGTGTAGTGTGTGAAAGTTCAACGTGGGCATAAATTTGTTAATCCTGAAGATGACACTACTGTGGTTTTTGTTTCATTTTTATTGTTACATAATGTGGTTGATTCCTTGTTTATCTTCTCCCTGTTGGAATGCCGCATTTCTGTATTAGAAAATGTGGAAGCTTGTTAGTTATATTCCCTGATTTGTGTCTGGCCTGTCCAGCAAATCACATCCAACCTGAATCTCTTCCTTCTTCTGGTGGCATCTAATACCTCATATTTTCACCTAAGAACATCTTGCTTCATTTGTCTCAGGAATTTTGATCTAAAGTGTGACATTTGACTGGTACACCAGGGTCACATGTGGCTGGTGGGCCTTCCTTTGCCAGTGTAAGATCTTGCTTTCTTAGGTAAACAGCATTCTTTGGTTTTGCAGAGAAGATGTGATATGAATGTTAGAATGCAAAGTACATGGAAAACAACTGTCATGATATAGATTCTCTAAGCACTTGGGATGAATAACAAATCACTGTACTAAAGCATATCCAGTATCCCAATTTATCAGTGTATTGATCAGAATTAAGGATGAATTAATTAACCTGGTGGAAGACAAGAGATTAAAAGAAGAATAAAGCTGAAGGGGTTTCACTGTAGAAGCTTTTACAAAACATTTAAAGAGAATGATGTAGGTGTGAATAGTATGGCTTGGGGCTGTCCCTGCCCATGATCCTAAACTTGAACAACTTGTTCTTCATTTCCTTTGATAATAGTACACTTGAATGCAGTGTAAAATTATGTATTCCGTTTTTAATGCATGTGCTCATATTTAGTGTCTATGCTCACGGGAATACTATTGGATGGAATACAAAGGTTTTTAATATCTGCTTATAGTGTGTTCCTATTATCTTTCTGATGTTCTTAGCAAAATGCTTATGGAATGTCAAACTGAAATTGTAGAGCAGTCTTTTAATGTTAATTTTTTCCTTTCCCTCGGAGAGTAAATCTATTGAAATCAAGAAGCTGTTGGTAAGAGACAGTGGGGACAAAGATATGTTCATTGGATTGGCCAACAGTATACTGTACAATGTCTTTTATTATTTTGTTTAAACAGAAACAGAATAACTATGATTTTACACTGTGAATAGTTTGATTCCTATCAGGGTGACCAAAATATGGCCAACCTCCCAGAACATGAATAAGCTAAATAAGGTTCACATTTTGAAGTCATTAATTAATTAAGTTTCATTTATAGAGCTTATTTATTACCCAGCCTAGTGAGCAGTTTACGTAATATGAACCAAAGTTCTGTAAACTCAACCAAAAATTATCTCCCCTGATAAATCAAAGAAACATTAACTTAAAAAGGCAAACACTTGATGAAAGCATATTCTAACAAAGAACATGTTACACTATTAAAAAAACAAACCCCAAATCCTGTTGCTTGGGGTCTCCCTAAACAATTCCGTCTTAACTAGTCTTCTAAAAGAGGAACCCTGTCTGACTCCCCAAAGAAGTCTGTTCCACAAAGACGGGGGCCATTACTGAAAACGCCAGATTCGTGATAGAGCTTTTCATTGCTTCTCTTGGGATAGGCACCCTCAAGCAGTAAGGTCTGCTAGGATCAGGTTGGCCTTGGCGAGAGGTGCTCCAGGAAGTAACAAAGTCTCAAACCATTAAGGGCTTCATAAGTCGGGATTGCACATTGAATCTGGCATGGGAGGTTCCCAGGAAGCCAGTGCTAGCGAGTTAGAATTGGGGAAATGTCGTCAAAGTTCCCAGCCCCTCAGATTCACCTGGCTGCCACATTCTGGACCTGCTGGATCTGCACCATCTTCAAGGGAAATACAACAAATATGACAAATCTGATTTAATGCAATGTATTTCTACAGCAGGCTAAGTTGATGTGATTATTTTACTGTGTATATTTATATATATATATATTTTTACAGCTTCATGGTTCAGCTCTCCGGAAAGCTCCTTCATCATTGCCACCGTGATAGTTGCAGTTTTTTTGTATTGGTTCCAGTTGGCTGCAGTTGGTATGTATTGAATTCCTTATTGGGTTTTTTTAAATGCTAGATACTGTTTTATTATAAAAGTGCTTTACATGTAAGTGACAATGGAGTAAGGGGGGGAGGAAATTGGTGTTCTACATAATTAAAAATGTTTAAGGTTGCACATTTTCAATGGTTTCTATAACTGCTAACATTTTCTAGTCTTGCAAAATAAAGAATAAAAGAATAAAAGGTGACATTGTAATTAATTTGAAGTCTGTTACCCTTTAGTCTGTGATTTCATTGAATGGTAATTAATACTTTCGAAAATTTGCAGTATAAAGTAAGCTTGTGCTTGTTGTTAGTTCAACATCTTAGTCGTACAATGAACAGTATGATACTGCGCTGTCTGCTACCATATTATTGAAGGCATCTCTTCCTTTGTACAAGATTATTCCTAGAAAATATTGCTACAGGAATGTCATCCCTGTTGAGCTAGTGAGGTTTTCTCTCTGGCAGAGGATCTTCAAACTGTTTGTTGTTGTGGGTTTTTCGGGCTTCTTGGCCGTGTTCTGAAGGTGGTTCTTCCTAACATTTCGCCAGTCTCCGTGACCGGCATCTTCAGAGGGCAGCAACAGTTTGCTGTCCTCTGAAGATGCCGGCCACAGAGACTGGCGAAACGTTAGGAAGAACCACCTTCAGAACACGGCCAAGAAGCCCGAAAAACCCACAACAACCATTAGATCCCGGCCGTGAAAGCCTTCGCGAATACATTGATCTTCAAACCATCCTTCCTGGACAGTTTTAAAGGAATACTTCAAACTGTACAATTGGGAGGGGAGGCAACATTCCGTGTCTTCAGCAGAATTCAGGAGAATCCTGGAACTCCACAAGCAATCTGGGCATAGAAGTACCGACAGCAAAAATATTAAGGGTGTTTTTTTGTTTTAACCAAAACCTCAAGGGAGCATCCTCCCAACTTGCAGTGCTATGCACCCCACCTGTACATAGTATCACGTTTGTATCTGCTGCCCTGAAACATATCCAGGGAAGGCCCTTTCTCTGAAGTTCATGCCCTTCCTGACTGGGATCTGGGAGATTGTGCAAGGTCCACCCATTCCTTTCTAATTTCACTTCATTGAATAAAACAGAAAGGTGGTAGGTGCAGTTTTTTTTCCTAACACTGAAGAATGAATTTAAAAATGCACCAACAGAGTGGGCAACTCTTCAAGGATTGTAGGGCTGCAGTGATCTCTTTGAGACCAGTTGGGAAGCATGTACAGTTAGTTGCTGAAGTCCAGTTGAGTATCAGTGGCAAGAAAGGTTGTTTCACCGCAAACATTTGTCACAACTGACAGTCAACCTCACATTTCATTTCAGTACAAGGTGCATAGGGAGGATGTGTCCTTATTTTAAAGCTGCAACACCTTGTCAAAGGCTTCCAGGATCATACTTTGCTCATGTTCTTCACATAATGGTTTTAAGGTGAAGCGCTGACTATTTTGTCACCACCATGGTGCCAACATTTAGCAGTGGATGGTGATTCAAAACAGGTGGGTAGGAGACAATATGTTACCCATTCCTATTTTAGAGGCTCAGATTTATGTTCTGGAACAGTGTGGAAAGGATACTTTCTAACCCCCCCCCCAATAAATACGCATGTTAATATGCCCTGTGTTCCTCTTGGCTCATTACATTAAGGCGAAGGGTATTATGATTATGTCTGGATTCAGAACTGGAGACATTGTTTTAGCTGCATGGAAGATTATAAAAGGCGACACAAGTGAACTCTGCTTGTTGGCTCCTTGACATTTATTCTGTGCACCCTAACATTTTGTATCCTGTTTCCCACACTATATGATATCACTGAATAATAGGGTCAATCAAAGCTTTGGGGTGAAATGTTGTCAATATATCGATGATACCTGTAACGGGCAGCCATGACCTCACCTGTCCGTCACAGCTGGGCAGTAAATCATCAGCCAATGGTGTGACGGAGGGTGGAACTGAAGGGGAGGAACTGGTATAAAAAGGGGGGGGTGAAGAGTGTGTTAGGGGATATTGATTGAGTGGGAGAGTGAGATCTGGAGAGATCTAGTTTGAAAGAGTTTTTTAGAGGCCTGCGTGCCTGGGTGTCAGTGAGGGAAAGTCTATGTGTTTAAGTGAATAAGAGATTGATTTACATTGTAATTATCTTCCTGTGATTTACCTATTTTATTTTGTAACCAATAAAACAAGTTTTATTTTTGAAAGAAACCCTTGTCCTTTTTATTTTAAAGGAAAGGTTGGTGGCAGCAAGAGTGTTTAGTGGCGTGGTGGACATTCTGAGAGACCTGAGTAGGTGGTGACCTCAGAGTGGCTCAGCCGCGTTACAATACCTATTTCCATTTCTAGTGGAAATTACAATCTGGCTCTGGTAATGGAGAAGAATAGGGCCGGTAAATTGATTCTTAGTCCACACATGACTGAAGTCCTATGGATGAGTGGTTTGTCTACCTGTAATAGTGCTGTTTGTCCTCTGGTAGACCTCAACAGATGGGAAACTCTGACATCTGATCGTTCAGCCTGGAGGCAGGCAGTGCATCACGGCCTCTCCCAATTTGAAGAGACCCTTGTCCAGCAGGCTGAGGCAAAGAGGAAGTCACAAAGGAAGCAAAACCAGGGAGCTGGACAGGGGACAGATTGGATTTGTCTCCAGTGTGGAAGGGATTGTCACTCTCGAATTGGCCTCCTCAGCCACACTAGACGCTGTTCCAAGTCCTCCATACAGAGCACGATACCATAGTCTTTCGAGACTGAAGGATGCCTACACAAGATGTGGGTATGTGAACAGAGAAGGATTAGATTTAGAGATGGGCACAAAATCACCAATTTGACAGTTCATGCCTGTTGATTTATTGGCTGAACAGGTTTTCAGTACATCCCAGCCCCGCCTCATTTGGTGGGCACCCACTCAGATGCAGCGCCTGGAGAAGGTGGGACAGTGATGCAGGGGCACTGCCTCTGTGTGAGTGCCTGGGGCCTGAGGAGGTGGGGCTGGGGAGCGTTCAATGCTGGTTTGGCCAACAAGTGAACCACCAAACCAGTGGTTCATGACCATCTCTAATCAGATCCACAGTATGGGTCCATCTTTGTCACTGTTACAACAGTCTGTTCCATAGGTGTGAACTGCGTTTTGCTTGCTGTAGCTCATATCCAGATAAGAATGGCATAGTTTTGGTATGCTACAGTAGTTGCAGTTAGACTACTGTGACACACAATGAATGTACTACCCTTGCCTTTGAAAAAAGTTCAGAAAGACAAGTTAGTTCACAGTTCACTTTGCTGTGATCATACCATCACCACTCAATTTCTAGACTCAATTCAAAGTGCTGTTTCTGACCTTTAAATCCCTTCACACATTATAATCCCGAGAACCATACTTTAACTAGTGCAAAGTCGGTGTAGAAATAGAATTTGAAATGCATAATCACTTTTTAAAAAACCAATAGAAGGCAATAATAAATTTTAAAGCTTTTAAATTTGTTTCAGCTTGAGTCGGGGAAGTAGCTGTTAAAGATCTTTCTATGAGGTAATTCATCCCAGTGAAATTAGCTTTTATTACCCATAATTTGCCAAATCAGTATTGGAGAAGACATGGATAGCTTGGAATGTTTTACCACATGTGGTGGGGTTGTCCGATAGTATCTAAATTTGTGCTGATGTGAGTACTGAAATCAATCCTGCATTCTCTTTAACCACATCAGTCACTCTACAGAACATTTTCACAGTTTGTAACGGTTCAATAGTCTGTAAAGATTCAGTATCATACTTCCTCCTAGCTGCCATATTAGAAACTGCTAGAAGGTGGAAATATGGTCAAAATCTTAGTTTGGACAGCTGATACAATCATATTTGAAATATGGCACTGTCTGGAAAGCTAACACAGGAAGTACACAGTGCAAGGCATCAAATAAATATAGATGACTTTGTTACTACCTGTTCTTCTTCATGGCCTCTGTGAATCACACTCTGGGTGATTCGCGCCTGCATGGAGCCTCATCGGAAGATTCTAGAGCTTCTGCAGTAGCAAATAAAGACATTAGAATATGCCACTCCCCACCCGTATAAGTACCTTGGTGCCAAGCGTTCCCTTTCAGTTTCTTTCAACCACCGCATTGAGAGCCTCAGAATTCTGCTTCTGTGAGTAAAAGAGAAAGAGAACTTATTTTTGATTCCTTCCTTTTATCAATCTTTTTTCTTTTAAACTATTAGATCAAACTCATTATCATCAGAGATTTTCCCTTTCCCCTCGCTCAGCCTCAGGTCGCAGCACCCCCCTTTCAGTCATCGTTTTTTCTCCTCAGTTATTTTCTCCTGTTCATGGCCTCTTTGGGCCCATTTAAGCACTGTATTGTCTGTGATAATAAGATCCCACTTTTTGACGGACATGCTAAGTGCCTTTTCTGTTTGGGAGAACAGCATCAAACTTCCTCCTGTACCCATTGCAAAAATTGTAAGCATGGAGTTCTTCAATCTAGTCTCTAGTTTGAGGCTAAAACTCTGACTTTGGGAACAGTCCTTACCACCAGTTCAAATGGCCCAACCTCCCTGTAGGGCCCCTTCCCAAACCAAAGCAATGGAAAAAGCTGTTACTGAGTCATCGAAACAATGTCTATTGGCTACACTAGCTCATTCCGATTCTCCATCTGCATCGTCTAAGACCTCGAAGACACACAAATCAAAACCTCGACACCAAAGTCCTCAACTCTGAAAACAACTTCTAAACGTCAGAGACATACTGAAGATGCTCCAGCTCCAGAGCCTGTTCCTCCTAAGCGAGCTAAAGAATCTAAGCTTACAGACATCCCACCAGAACCACAACAACTCTCTGAATTAATTTCGGTTGGATCTCCCTCAGATGATGACAGACTTCTGTCCCATCAACCCTGTTCTCAGTCTCCAGAATGGGATGATAGAGTCAACCAACCAATGTCCTCTCCTCCCAATCCCAACCTTCCATTCCTTCCAGCAATCCTCCGGTTATTCCATCACCTGAGGATTCC